TTTTAGAAGTATTAAAATATGACCTTTTGAAGGAACAATTTTTTTATTAAGAGAGGCAAGCTTTAGGTACACAAAAATCTATATTATAACCTTAATTAGATTTGGGTTCCCCTGTGGGTTATCCACCTTAAAAGTGGCAAGTACACATGGGGTTGTAGTTACACCCTCACCTAATATTTTGTTCATTATTCAAAAAGCCTAATAAACATGCTTCCCCACCACCTCATATGAAGATGTAATACAAATTAGACACGATTAAACATGAAAAGGAGATAGTGAAGTCATTGTCACGTTGTTTCCATATTAAATTTAATTAGAAGTGTTCGTATGACCTGAGAATTCGATCAACTCGAATTACCCAAATCAAACTATAAAGATTAGGTTGGGTTAGATTTTTTTTTTCTTTTTTGGGCTAGGTTGAATTTTTAGAAAACTGAAAATTTAGGTCGATTTGCACGTTAACATTTTTTTTAGTTAGATCAACTTAACCAATCCAAGGCTACAATGCTACCCTAACTTACTGTACATTTATGACTATTGTGAAGATTAAGAATATATTGTCACATTGTTTCCACGTCAAATTTAATTAGAAGGGTTCATATAACTTGAGAATTCAACCAACTCGGACTACCCAACTCAAATCATAAAGATTAGGTTGGGTTAGACTTTTTTTTTTTATTTGGGTTGGGTTAAAGTTTTAGAAAACCGAAACTTTAGATCGATTCGCAGGTTAACATTTTTTTTAGTCAAATCAGCTTCACCATCCAAGAATAGGGCTACAACGCTACCTAACCCCTACGGTACTTTTAATATTACTATGAAGATGAAGGATATTTGACGTTCGTAATCGATGTTAGTGATGCATTGTGACTTGTGAATTTTTTATATTTGAAAATTTTAGTTACTAAGGTAACATAACACATGTCGTAGATACGTAGAATTCTTTTAAAATAATAATAACAAAAGAACAATCCGATAATCCAATCCGAAAAAATATAGGGTTTGGTTGTAAACTCTATCAGCGTTCTAGTTACCAACTCAACCAACTCGAAATTTCGGTCCAAAAAAAATCGGTGTACACCAGTAATTTTTAATTTCAAAATCAATAATGCAATTTTTCTTTCTTTTTTTACGATGATGAAAGTTGGTATTAGAATGATATTGGAAGCAAAGTGATTTGGGGTTTTTGTTAATATTATATTGAATTGAGTCAATAATAGATACCATTTATTATGAATCTTTGGATTCGGTATTGTTTTGATTGACCCCAATGTCCGAAATACATATACATATCAATTACTTTTTGAGATTTTAAATAATTGCATTTTCCTTCTCTCTCTTAAACGGATCTCTGAGTTGTAAAATGGCGTAGTCCCATCTCTTTGTGTCTATGTGCCTTGGTAATACCTCATTAAACTATTTCCATATGCTACCTTTTACAAAGTGGGAGGCAGAGAGTGTGAAAGAATCATATCATATCCAACTATTATATACAAAAATGTCTTGTTTCTAGCATTTATTTTCTAACGATTTATGAGATCTCGCATCGATTGGAGAGGGAAACAATGCATTTCTTATAAGGGTGTGGAAACCTTATAGATGCATTTTAAAACGGTGAGGCTTACAGCGATACGTAACAGGCTAAAACGAACAACATCACTAGTGGTGAACTTGGGTTGCTATAAATGGTATCAGAACCCGACACCGGGCGGTGTGCCAGTGAAGACATTGGGCCCCAAAGAGGGTGGATTGTGAGATACTGCATCGGTTGGAGATGAGAACAAAACATTTCTTATAAGGGTGTCAAAATCTCTCTCTGTCTGACCCTTATAAGGGTGTGAAAACTTCTCTCTAGGAGACGCGTTTTAAAATTGTGAGGCTGACCCTTACAAGGGCGTGGAAATCTCTCCCTAGGAGACGCGTTTTAAAACCGTGAGGTTGACAACGTTACGTAATGAGCTAAAACAAACAATATCTAGTAGCGGTGAGCTTAGGCTGTTACACGATTCATATCCAGGATTCAAAATTCTGATTGAGTCACTGAAAAGAAAAGTACACCTTTGTTGGTATAGGTAGCAACTTTCAATTCTTTTAAATCTTTCTTAGTCATCATATCCTCAAGATCGCTCTCATTCGAATATGATCTCGATTCATTCATGTATCTCTCTTTTGCTCTGAAGTCACATATTTTTATAAGATCTTTTTAAAATGGCCCTTTATAAGGTGATGGAAACTAATAATAATCATAATAGATCTCTTTGTATGTGTGATGTTGTTCTAGTTCACACATACATCCATGGATTCAAATGGATTGCAGTTGAAATGTATAAGAATGAGAATTAGGGCACAATGTTATTTGAATCTTTAACGAATAATATTAGTTTTATTGTTTACGATTTTAGTTGGATTTCAATTTGATCTTTATAATTAGGTTTCAAAAGTATAATTATCGTTCTCCTCTCCAACAGATGAGGGATCTCACAATTCACCTCCTTCACGGCCCAGTGTCCTTGTTGGCACTCGTCCCCTTCTCCAATCGATGTATGATCCCCCAATCTACTCCTTCGAGGACTAGCGTTCTTATTGACACACCGCCTCGTGTCTAGCTCTCTTCGAGGCTCAACATCCTTGCTGGCACATCGCCCAGTGTCTGGCTTTGGTTCCCCTCAAGGTTTTAGAAATGTGTCTACAAAGGAGAGGTTTCCTCACTTTTGTAAAGAATGTTCCGTTCTTCTCTCCAACCAATATGAGATCTCACAAAGGTTTAATTAAATCTCTCGAATATCTTCGTAATTACTAGATGTGTTTATTACATACACAATCGTAGTAGGGTAGCCCCAACCCCATAAGTCCACAACTCTTTCAAGTTGGTATACTATAGGTATGATGGAAATTGTGAAACAAGAAGGAAAGGAATAATTAAGCATTGGTTGAAGGTCGGAAAGATAGCAACAATAGGCTATCAAATCCATGCTTCTAAAGTACTTAACAATCACCAAATTTTGGTCCATAATATCATTTCTCAACAACATTGCCTAGTGGAAAGGCTCCACCTCCCCCATGGTCCTTAAATTCCTCCAATTTGGCCTTTCAATTCCATGTTCTCTCCACATGTTAACCACTGACAAGCCAGCAATGGTAGGTTCATCTTCAAGGAGATCAACAATTTGTGTGTTTTTTTGTTCCCAAACTTTGCTTCTTTATTTATTTTTAAGTTTTTTATACGCAACGTTTTAGGAGAATTGATTAATAAGGACTCAACAAGTACCACTTTTTTAAAATATATTTGAGGTCCTACATCAGTTAGAGAAGATAATGAAACATTTCTTATAAGGGTGTGAAAACCTCTCTCTCGTAGACGCGTTTTAAAACTGTTAGGTTGACAGTGATATGTAACGAGTCAAAGTAGACAATATCTAGTAGTAGTGAGCTTGGGCTGTTACAACGTCAAAGTCTCAAAGAAACTTAAATATTATATATATTAAAAGTTTCAAGTTTGTATCATGGTTGATTGATAGTTTTGTAATGTGTGAAAGATTTCATGTTCGAGGTAAAAGAGAAGGAATGGAGAAGAAAGTATTAGGAACAAGAAGTTTTATTACGAGACAGTTCATGATGTTCATATTGATCTATTATGTGTCTTGGTATCTAGCATTGGGTAGACCTCATACAATAACTATCTTAGCTCTACCGTATCTTTTGTTTCATTTCTTTTGAAATAATCACAAACACTTTTTTTATTATGGATCAATGTATATTCCGGAATAATCTCGTTTTTCAATTATTCATCCATTGAGCCATAGAATTTCTCAATTCTGACACAAGGTATTTATTAGATCTAATAGAATTATTTTTCCTTTCAGGAATAAAATGTGACCAATTAACCTCACCAACAAAACTATTTATTACAAATAGCATTGTATTATAAACTTAAGATTTTGAGTAGATGGAAAGTTTAACGTGATATAAGAACAGGAGATCATGTGTTCAATATTTTTTCTAAAAAAAGTCTTTTGAGTTGATGGGTGATTTAGTATGATATCAAATCTAGACGTTCTTTGAACCAATATTGATATCGTTTTTAAACTGCCCATCAACCCAAAAACTAAGAACGTATGGATTATGATTGATTTAATTAATCGTTTTTTTTTTCCTCCACACTCCATTATTGAAATTGCCCCTTTTCAACTTTTTGGCAGAAGTGGGAAATTTGTAGCTGAATTATTGACAAAGATCATCCTTTCAAAGTTTATACAGTTCATCAAAATTCATTGTCTTTCCTAATTATTCACACTTCCAATTTTTAAAAAGAAAAAAAAATGAAATTATAATAGAAATGGTAGTTCATATTCTGAAGTTTGACTGTTCATGAATCATGAGAAGAAAAAAAGAGTAAAAAACCCAAAGTGATTGATGAATGAGGCCCCATGTTGTCAGTGGTAATCACATGATTTTTTTAATTTTTAACTTCAAAAAGTTGGGTTAAAAATCTTGAAGAAAACAATTTACCACCAACTTTTTATTCATTCGGGAGGTTTTTTTGTGTTTCGATCTATTTTTGTTCGTCCCCAAACTAAATAATTTTTCGATTTACGAAAGAATAATTTTATTTAGATGATTTTGAGTTAATCTTTAAACGAATTATAATGAAACTAGTTATAAATCACTAATAGAAGACTTAAATTGATTCACTCGTAAAAATTTAGGTTTAAATCGATATATGTGACATTTGAGTAAAGGAAAGGTACGTAAATGAACCAAGTTCACATCTAAAGAAGAGCGATCTTGAAAATAAGATGATTAAAAAAGACATAAAAGAATTAAAAGTTAATACCCATACTGTGAAATTCCACATTGGTTGGAGCGGGAACGAAGCATTCCTTATAAGGGTATGAAAACCTCTTTCTAACAGACGTGTTCTAAAATTATGAGGCTGACGATGATACGTAGCGAGCTAGAGCGGATAATATCTGCTAGCGTTGAGCTTGGGTTGTTACAAATGGTATCAAAGCCTGACATCGAGCAGTGTGTCAGAGAGGAAGCTGAGCTCTCAAGAGGGTGAATTGTGAGATCTCATATCGATTGGAGAGGAGGGGGGAACCATCCATTGGAGAAGGGAACAAATCATTCCTTATAAGGGTGTGGAGTGGATTGTGAGATTCCTCTTTAGGTGGAGAGAGGAGATAATCATTTCTTATAAGGGTGTGCCTCTCCATAGCAGACACGTTTTTAAAACTATGAGGTTGTTACGTATACCCATTTTTAGGACTCTGAAGATAAGTATGTTCTGCTTGGACAAAAACATGTTAAAATGTTTCGTATTGATTTGTGGGGATAGTCTTTACTCTTAAAACTGAGGACTAACTAACGTGACCATGTCGTAAGGGATGTGACGGGGCAATCAAGTGAATCTTAATCCTAGTCGTGGAGATGTGTCAATAAAGATGCTTCAAGGAGCATCTATTTATGCATATAGTTAAAGAGAAAGAGAAAAAAGGGGGGAAATCCCTAAGAATGCTACAACTAATGCCTTGTAGGACCAATTTTGATGAGCATATATTTAAAGGTCATAATGGAAGAGAGAAATAACAATGTGACTGCCAACATGAAAGCAAGAACACACTTACAAATTGTGTGTTCAAAACATCACAAACAGCCAAAACATGAGTGACCCTAAATCATGTTTGCTACACAAACACAATTATATACAACAAGGCTACACCTCTAGACCCCTTTTGGTTCTCTTTATAGTATGAAAGTGTAACTATTTATGCCAAAACCTAGTGTTCTTAAACGGTTTAGGGTTGGTTTTGTGATACTCGAGTAAATGAGAGGTATATGAATGAACAAGTATCACATCCAAATGAGAACCTTTGTGATGGCTTAATCATAGAAACCCTAAAATTAAACGTGTTTTTTTAGAGTAGTTCTGATATTGTCCGTTTTGACCATTAAGTATCACTGTCATCCAGCCTCAAAGTTTTAAAACGTGTCTCCTAGGGAGAGGTTTCCACACCCTTATAAAGAATATTTTGTTCTCTTCCCCAACCGATGTGAGATCTCACATGTTGAAAGGATTCGTGTTGGTCTGTGAAGATAGTTTACATTCTTAGAAGTGAGAAATAAGTAACCTAACCATGTCGTAGGAGATGAAAGAGAATATTAGTACTAAACATGCTAAAAGAACTCATGTTGGTCTGTGAAGATAGTCTACATTATTAGAAGTGAGGAATAAGTAACCTTACCATTTTCTAGGAGATGCAAGAGAATGTCGGAGTCATCACGTGCCAAATTTGAATTCTGAATTCGAATCTAAATCTTAGGTATGAACATTCTAGGTTTAGAATGACTTTAAGTGTTTTTTCGCTTAAAAAGTCATTCCGTTCAAACTATACCGAGTTGATCTTCTAGTTGTAAACAAAATTAATCCGTTAATGATTAAAGGGGTAGCTTTGCTTGCATTAAACGTTCGTACGTCTGTTAAAACTTCATTCAAACATCTAACAATTCGATCGAGGGTAAATATTTTAACCAGTTGAGGTATGTTCACGAGATTATATGCCTAATTGTAACCCGAGCGATGCTTTCTATATACATTATTATAAAAACATGTAAAAGGGGGTATGATTCTTCCTCAAAAGGTAACTATTCTTTGTTTGACAAATTAGTAACTATTTGAACACCATGCGTGTTAGTGGACGTATAGTATTAATGCTTTTTCCTCTCTTTTCCATGTCTATTATGCTATCGCTATCATATTCATTGATAAACCACAATGATTCGACTAACAAATCATAACAATCATTGTCACCAATAATTAACCTTCGTTGTTGCCCATTTTTCTATATCCATCAAAAGTGAACAATACGTGGCTTCTTTTTAAAAGTGAACATTTTTGTCAAACATTTCGAACCCGTTTTTAAATGGCTATTAAATCTCGTTTTTTTGAATGAAGATGATGTTATGATAAACGTTTCTTTTCAGTGACTTAATTGTAGGAACTTAAAGTTAAATGTTATTGGCTTAAAGCAATCCTGTTGGTTGACCTTCTACTCGTGCTGGTCTGTGGGAACAATTATGTTTGTTGACCTTCTAGAAATTTTCCTCGAAAATATGTGAGTAACGAAGACTCGTGTTGATATGTGAGAATAATTTTCACATTTAGAAGCAAGCTAAGACAAATAGATAGGGCAAGAGAATGTTGGAGTCATCAGAAATCGAATTTGTATTCTAAATCTGAATTCAAATTCTAGGTATAGAAAGTTACACTTCAGGTCACTTGTGGGCACGAAAATTGTAGAAAGCTTAACAAATGAATACTAAAATTATAATAAATGGATGTTAAACTTTTGGATTTAGTGATCATCTAACACCGTGTTATACTTGTGATAGAAAATAAAACCCAATTAATGGGTAAAACTAAAAAATAAATCCTACATGCTAAAGGTACGTGAGATTCCATATCGGTTGGAGAAGGGAACAAAACATTTTTCATAAGGGTATAGAAACTCTTCCTAGTAGACACGTTATAAAACCATGAGGCTGACGGCTATACGTAACGGGGCAAAATAGACAATATTGCTAACGATGAACTTGGACGGTTACAAATGATATTAGAGCTAGACATCAAACAATGTATCAATGAAGAAACTAGGTCCTCAAGGGGGAATTGTGAGATCCCACATCGGTTGGAAAGGAGAACGAAACATTCTTTATAAAAGTATGGAAAACTGCTTCCTAGTAGGCATGTTTTAAAACCGTGAGGCCGATGACTATACGTAATAGGCTAAAATGGACAATATCGATTAGAGATGAGCTTGAACTGTTATAAATGGTATCAAAGCTAAACATTGAAACGGTGTGCCATCAATGACACTGGTCCCACAAATGAATGGATTGTGAGATCCTACATCGATTAGAGACTGGAACGAACAGCTAACCAATTGACAAAGTAGGAAAACAAAAACATGGGTTAGAATTATTCCATTATACACTAACAAAATCAACAAAGCCCTCTCTCTAATTTCCTTTTCCCCAAAGGCATCAAATCATCGTTACAAGACGATGAAACGAGGAAGAACAAGAAGAACAAGAACACGAACACGAACATGAGAGAAAATAATGGCAGTGACAGAGAGCGATAAGATTATACCTAGTAACAGAATGGCTAAGAAAAGATGGTGAAAGGACATAAGAAAACAAGCAAAGGGGACAAGAGAGAAAGATGAAAGAAGGTGCAGCAGCAATCTTCAAAAAACCCTGAAAAAAGGTAAAATGAATGATGTGTGTTATGTTATTTTTGCAGTGTTTTTTGCAGAAAGAGAGCAGTACAACAACCCGTGTGTCATATATAATTGAGCTAACAAATACCTCACTTTATGAACATGCCATTACCCCTTTAATAGCCACAACAAATTTTCAACAACATGTGGCTAAATCACCAACACATACCCATATATTCCCGCCATATCAAAGTTTAGGGTTTACGATCCTCTCGAAATGCTTTTCGTTACGAGAGATGTTGGAGATTTGAGCATTGTACTGTGTAGGTATGGATAAGATATCTGTTCACTCATCGTTCCACGAGCATAACCCAAATAGATTCAAATCTTATGTTTCTTATCCTTTCTTCTACAATTTATACATCAAAGTATCGACACTAAATATGTAATGACACAAGTCCACTGCTAGCAGATATTGTCCGCTTTGACTCGTTACGTATCGCCCTCAGCTTTATGGCTCTAGAACGCGTCTAACTTTTCACACCCTTGTAAGGAATACTTTGTTTCTCTCTTTTCAATCGACGTGGGATCTCACAATTCACCTTCTTTGGAACTCTAACTTGACATGGGATCTAACAATTCACTCTCATTGGAACTCCAATTGAAGTGGGATCTAACTGTTCACCCCTTGGGAGCCCAGCGAGAATACTTTGTTCCCATCTCCAACCGATTTGAGATCTCACAATTCACCTCCTTTGGAGCCCAACATCCTTGTTGGTACACTATTTGGTGTCTGACTCTAACATCATTCGTGATGGCTCAAGCTCACTGCTACCAGATATTGTCTGTTTTTGACTCGTGTATCACCATCAACCAACTTTGAAGTCTTAATTTTTCCATATGTTTGAATATAAATATATTGCAAAATTATTCAAAATACTATTTTGGGCTACTATATAACAAATATTGGGCCTTTCGTTTGTATATTATGCACTCGGCCCACATATTTTCGTCAAATTTTGGAAATTATTTTCAATTAATATATATATATATATATATTTATTTATTTATTGAACTGAATTTATTGTCCATTTTAAAATTATATATACATTATTTATTTTATTTTTATTTAATTTCATAATTATTTATAAAACTAAATATTAACTATTTTGAGGATAATTTTTCAAAATATATATTGAAACTATACTCAAACAACTCGAACCAATTCAATGTAAAAAAATTATGGTTAGATTGAGTTGATTCGGTTCTATTACAAGCATACCACTGATATATCCCCCTACAGTACATTTTGGGGCATTTTAGCCCTTACAAGTGTAGACACGATTTTGGTGAACCAATACACCTCATACTGACCCAATATGAAATGCTAAAGACCTATCTAGGATGAAAGCATGTAAAAGGGGTTTGGAACGAGCATGCAACCATGGACAACACATCCTGGACAAGCAAGACCAAGATATCTGTCATGCTGCCATTGACAACACGCCTTGAACATGCATGACCATAACATCCTCCCCACTCAATTGGATGACGTCTCTGTCAACCGACTCGGACATGCAAGACTGGGACATCTGTCATACTTTGGGTAAGCATGAGAGTGTTGGATATTGTTGGGATTTATACCTGTAGCGATCAACAATTATCATGGTCGATATATCTTTTTAAAATAATAATAATAATAAATTCAAAGTTTAATGATATTAAAATTAAAATGATGATAATGATTAAAAAGATTGTTCAATCATTTTAATCACCAGAGTAGACCTAAGGCTAGATGGTAGGGAGGGATAATGGGTTGTCCCTTAAGTCAACCAAAAAGCTATTTAAAATGTAATTTTCATTTAATTTATTTTTTGGGGTTGTGGTCCATTATGCTATCCACAGCTTCATGCTTTAGAGTGTTAGGTCTTTAAATATCCCACTTTTTACATTTAATATATTGAATCATTGGCCTCTTTATTAGGCTACCCATTCCTTTCAACTTTTCTATAACACGACACGATACGACAACTCGTGTAAACCAGAGCTAGAAAAAGAGAAACGATATCTGAGATATACTGGTCGGAGTCTAGAAACTATCCCCACAGACTAATACGAACCGTAAAAGGAAGGTGCGCCTTGTTGGTATAGATAGTAATTATCAATTCTTTTTGAACGTTTTTCAACCATTATATTCTTATGATCACTCTGATTCAAATATGGTTTTGGTTCATTCATGTAACTCTCGTTTATATGGGTGTTACATGCTGTGAGATCCCACGTCGATTTGAGAGATGAATGAGTGCCAACGAGGAGGGTGGATTGTGAATCTCATATTGGTTGGAGAGGGGAACAAAGACGCGTTTTAAAACTGTGAGGCTAATGGCGATACGTAACGGGCCAAAGCGGTTGATAATGATGATGAGAGAGAGAATCAAACAACAATCGTGAACTACTCAATCCAATTCATAAATGGCTTAATACGAATACATGATAGTTCATGTCTCGATAATACTTGAATGAATGAATGTTCGAGGTATCTCAACGATAAACATGGCTCATGGGTCGATTCTCGATAAGTGTGTCTGAGTGAGTAACGAAGGTTGTTGACATTTCAAGACTTCGGGATGATATCATGTAGCATGTACTATGTTGTTGGGCATCACGATGACAAAATAAGATGTTACATTGTATTCGAAGGACCTTGACCTAGAGTAGTGCCAAAGTTGAGCCAAATAACTTAGCCTAGAGTAGAGTCGAGTCGGCTAGAGTCACAACGTGCAAACATGCACACAAGAGCATAATGTATGACTGAACGAGCTTAGTTTCTGCATGAGAGTGTTTGGTTGGTGAAGGAGAACCTTGCCTAAGGTATTGATTCAGTTTTAAATCAACCGGTAATTACATGAGTGATGTTATGACTAAACGGTCGATAAGAGAGAGCTATATAACTAAGTATAATACCTCGTCAATTTAACTTTATATTATATGAACTATATGTAACAACCCATCAATTAAACTTTATATTATATGTTAGAAAAAAAAAATGAGACATTTGAAGAATTAGTTGGCATGAGAAAAGCATAGAATATAAGAAATGCAACTAGATTTTCAAACTTGCATTTATTAAATTGATTGATTGGGCCCTTAGCTAACAAAGTTGCCAAAAGATATTGGCAATCAAGCTAATAAATAATGTAAAATTCTATTTGGTATATATATATAGTTTATTAAATTATATATTTAATCTTGACCGTTGTCTCTTAAATCAAATTTTGAAAGAAAAAAAAGAGACAGGGTCTAAAATATCATTGAATTTTAAAAATTATTTAAAAGGGGTAACGACTCATGCCTAGATCCAAATTCAGCATCTAATGGCCCCGTCATTACCCTACGACATGGTCATAGACAACCACGAGTTCTTTTAGCACGCTTTAGGTTGGCTCACATGCATTCTATGAAATTTCGAGGAGGTCACCCAACATAAACCTGCACTAAGTAGAGTACACTTAGCACTCTTAACCGAGAAATTTCTATGGTTGAGTTACTAAAACTGAAGGTGCACTTTGTTAGTATAGGTCGTGACTTTCACTTCTTGTAAGCTTTTTTTAGTCATCTTATTATCAGAATCGTTCTTATTCGGATATGGTCTTGATTCGTTTATATATCCCTCCTTTACTCGGATGTCACAATGGGTCTCCTAAATTTTTAATTTTGTGTCTAAATGGTCACTGAGTTTTTATAATATCTAATATGTCCTTAAACTTTTAATTTTATATTTAATTGATCTCTCATATGTTTAAAAATTTCAATTTAGTGTATTGTAGGTTTTTCGGGGTTTTTGTTTAAGGAAGTTGGAGCAAGAAGATCGTGGAGCTGATTGGAAGGAGAAGTCATATAGGGATTGAGGTTAGATTATTCTTGTCCCGATCGATGAGAGTTAGTATGGATATGGTCGAGCCATGAGATGTATGAACTTTATAGTGCCATAAAGATGTCGTGTGTAGGGGTGATTAGGAGACCTCTAACTATTCATTGGTTGTGAACTTGTTCGGATGAGGGCAAGTGACAACATGAGTACATGATAGTTGACAGACACGAGGGTCCCTCTCTCACTTATGATGATGATATTGTGGGGATAAAGAATCTATCTAGTGCCTATGCTATTTAAGTGCCTATGAGATGAATGAAATCATGATGAGATCGCACCTCGAGTGCCTATGCTATTTAAGTTGATTACGAACACCATGACTAGTAACGAGCTAATCAAGTTACGTTGAACCTCAAGATATCTCTAATGAGATAGATGGGCTCCAAACAAGGGTCAAGATAGATCTGAGTCTCGATTCTTTTACCCCTAAATGTTCTTGATTCCCTCTTTTTTTCACTTTGAAGTATCGACCGATACTATCGCATCGGGGCTTGACATGCCACAATCCTCTTGAAAGAGAGGAGTGCCTTTGGAAATACGGACACAGGTGGTACATGTCATCGTCAGCTCGTGTTGTAAGGTGTTGGGTTATATCCCGCAATGAGCTCAACCCTTGTGTTTAGTTGCCAACTGTTGAGGTTAGAACCGTGAGCCGATTGGTGGTGATAAGTCTGAGGTAGCGAGTCATTTTAGGTCAATAGTAGTGGTTTGTAGCTCGAGCCTCTAAAAAAGCTGATCGTTACATTATATTTTAAAATTTATAATTAATTTGTTATTGAATTTTCGAAAAAATAAAATAGTATATATTTTCTTAAATTATTTCGATAATCTTATATGTATAATATCTCTCTCTTCCGGACGCACTTTTCATTTTCCTCCTCCAAAAAAGTATACACAGAGGAGAGATTTTCTTTTGTTTTCATCTTGTTTCTTCAGTCCTCTGAATCAGAGCAATGTCGGCCGTTCGAGACGAAGATCCTCGCATCCATGGCATCCGGACTAACATCCGCGTCGTTCCTGATTTTCCGAAACCAGGTTTAGTTTCTTCTTCTTCTTCTTTTTACTTTTGCGATTCCGTCGATTTTCGAAGGTTTTTGATGAGCGATTAGCGGATGTTAGGTATCATGTTCCAGGACATTACGACTCTGTTGCTTCAACCGAAGGCCTTCAAGGATGCGATTGACATGTTCGTGGAGCGATATAAGGGGAAGAACATCACCGTCGTTGCGGGTAAAGAAAACGGAGAGAGATTTTCTTTTTTTTTTTTTCTTTTTTTCCTGCAGTTTCTTTTCTCGATTAGGAGTTCAGAACTTAGAGGCGTCGTTATCAATCTGTTCGAATGTAGCGATGTCCATAACTGTGTCTACTGGTTGATTTTTTTTTTTTTTTTCTTCTTTTGTGTTTTTGGTAATTTTGTGAATGCCGTTGACGAACACGGTTTTTCCGTGAATTGAACGGTTAAGAGAGGAGAATCAGGAGGAAATCGCGTTTCTGTTTGTGTGTGTGAGATCCGATTTGCATGGATGATATGATTGTGGCCCCTTGATGGAGGTCGGATAGGGCCGCCAGAGCGTTGTTCTGTTCGTCGCCATTGCAAAATGTGGATTTCCACGCCTAATTAACAGATGGCGATTCTCTGTCTTGTCCATTTCTCTTCTTTTGTCATCTTCTCTTGTAGTTCTAGTTGCGTCCAATGATGAACGCGTTGATTTTGTGATCCATTTTGCAATTTTTTCCCCCTTCTGTTGCATCGATGGATTTTTATGGAAAATATTTTGAAATTTATCTTAACAAAGTTATTGTTTCTGTTTCTTTCTGCCCCCCCCCCCCCNCCCTTTTTTTTTTTTTTCAAAATTGTTTGGTTGAAACTTTTTTTTTCAATTTAGTTTTTCAAAAAATGGCTTACAATTTCAAAGCTAAAAATAAAATAAAAAAATCAAGTTATGAAAATTTACTAGAAATTCAAAATAATTTTTTGGAAGATCAAGAAACAAAACAGAAAAAGCTGTGACAACTTTTTTTTTTCTTTTTTGGTATATTTTCTGGAAATTTCCTTTTAGATTTCTTTTAAAAGTATTTTAAAATTTATAAAAAAAAAAAAGGGTTTGGACGGCTCTTTATTTATTTATTGTCATTGATTTTTATCAATAATAATATCTGCACAGTTCATTGAGAAAATATGTTATCATTATTATTATTTTATTCTGTAAACAGTTTTTGAAATTTATTTTGGGAAATTAATTCTCGTCTATAAAATTATTTTTAATTTTTGTCCATAGAAAACATTACGGTATGGGTCAAGGATTATAACATATATATATATATATAGATAATATCTTGTAATTATCTTTTTTTTTTTTTTTTTT